AGATATTGGAAACTTCTTATAATGTTCAGAAAAACTGCCTTCCCGCCCCCCCAAAAAAAACTCACATTGACCCTTATTTCCCAGAAAATACCACTTCTCTTCCTCCATTAATTCCAATTGGTAAGATTTTGGAGTCTCCTTTAAGGTATGATGAATTTGTCAAAACATTTATATTGTGTTAACCTAATTTACCAAGACATTTCAAATTTACATCTCTGCATCAGTTAAAGACAGATTTAGAAATATACTGATTTTCTTCAAATACAGTGTTTGAAGTTACGATGATTAGATTTAAAGATATGTGTGATCAGTCAGTTTATGATTATGTAAAATAACATGTCAATAGTTACAGGATAATGCAGGTAGGTAAGACACCTGTTCTACTATTGTGTGATTTCATGATTTAATTGAGCCTCAGCTGTAGTTGGGTAGTATAGTATCAAGCTTTTGGCAACTGGTTGCATTGTTCACCAATGCTAAGTCACCAAGCTTAAAACATCACAACAATGAATTTAATCAGTGAACAATGAAATGTTATCAAGTCCATTCACAAAATTAAAAGCAGGACTGGCATAGTGGCTCACCCCATAATCCCAACACTTTGGGAGGCTGGGGCAAGTAGATCACCAGAAGTAGGGAGTTTGAGACCAACCTGGCCAATGTGGTGAAACCCCTTATCTCTAAAAATACAAAAATTAGCCAGGCATGTTGGCATGCACCTGTAATCCCACCTACTTGGGAAGCTAAGGCATGAGAATTACTTGAACCTGGGAGGCAGAGGTTGCAGTGAGATCGCACCACTGCACTCCAGCCTGGGCGACAGAAACTCCTTCTCAAAGAAAAACAAACAAAAAAACTATAAAGAATCTCCTGAGTATTTTTAAATCTTACATGAACAACAAATAAGAGTTTGAATGTCTTATCCTGCATATGGAAATCAAGTCTTTGAAGAAAAAAGGTTTTTTTTGGTTTTTTTTTGGAGAGAGTCTCACTCTGTCACTAGGCTGGAGTGCAATGGCGTGATCTCCACTCACTGCAACCTCCACCTCCTGGTTGATTAAACTGCTTTCTCTTACAAATTATCCAGTCTCCGGTATATCTTTATTATCAGTGTAAAAATGGACTAATACACCTTGAGAGCTGGTATTTAAAAAGAGCCTCCCTCTCCACTCTCTCTTGCCTCCTCTTTTGCCATGTGATCTCTGCACAAGCTGCTCTTTACCATGAGTGGAAGCAGTTTGAGGCCCTCACCACATGCAGATGTGGGCGCCATGCTTCTTATACAGCCTGCAGATCATGAGCCAAATAAATCTTTAGAAATTATCCAGCCTCAACCGTTCTTTAGAGACAGGCTCTCACTCTGCCAACCAAGCTGGAGTGCAGTGATGTGATCGTAGCTCACTGCTGCCTCGAATTCCTGGACTCAAGTCATTCTCCCGCCTCAGCCTCCCAAGTAGCTGGATTACAGCTGCACACCACCATGCCCAGTTAACTTTTAATTTTTTGTGGACACAGGATCTTGCTGTATTACCCAGACTGGTCTTAAACTCCTGGGCTCAAGTGATCCTCCTACCTTGGCCTCCCAAAACACTGGGATTATAAGCATAAGTCACCACACTCAGCCCCTATACTACTTCTTAGAACTGCAGGTAAATCTGCAATTATCTTGAAATGAAAAGTGTAAGTTTAAAAGGCTGATTGCTATACTTTGGACATTTGTCCCCCAAACCTCATATTGAAATTTGATCCCTAATGTTGGAGGTGGGGCCTAATAGGAAATGTTTGGGTCCTGAGGTTTAAGGTGGATCCCTCGTGAATACATTAATGCCCTCTCTGGACGATGGTGACCTCTCACTCTTAGTTCTTTCATGATATGGTTTGGCTGTGCCCCAACTCAAATCTCATCTTGAATTGTATTTCTCATAATCCCCACATGTTGTGGGAGGGACCCAGTGGGAGGTAATTTAATCATGGGGCAGTTACCCTAATGCTGTTCTTGTTATAGTGAGTGAGTTCTCATGAGGTCTGATGGTTTTATGTGGGGCTTTTCCCCCTTTTGCTCAGCACTTCTCCTTGCTGCCACCATGTGAAGAAGGACATGTTTGCTCCTTCTTCTGCCATGATTGTAAGTTTCCTGAGGCCTCTCTAGCCATGCAGAACTGTGAGTTGATTAAACTGCTTTCTCTTACAAATTATCCAGTCTCCGGTATATCTTTATTATCAGTGTAAAAATGGACTAATACACCTTGAGAGCTGGTATTTAAAAAGAGCCTCCCTCTCCACTCTCTCTTGCCTCCTCTTTTGCCATGTGATCTCTGCACAAGCTGCTCTTTACCATGAGTGGAAGCAGTTTGAGGCCCTCACCACATGCAGATGTGGGCGCCATGCTTCTTATACAGCCTGCAGATCATGAGCCAAATAAATCTTTAGAAATTATCCAGCCTCAACCGTTCCTTTATAGCAATGCAAATAGACAAAAACGGTGATAGAGAAGGAGTTTTTTGTTGTTGTTGTCCTCAAAATTACTGACAAAGAATACAATGGGGTGTTAAGATTTTACACACACATTATTTCATGATGATACATTTTAAAATCATATCCCAATGTCATTATTTGAGCCTCAGCTGTAGTTGGGTAGTATAGTATCAAGCTTTTGGCAACTGGTTGTATTGTTCACCAATGCTAAGTCACCAAGCTTAAAACATCACAACAATGAATTTAATCAGTGAACAATGAAATGTTATCAAGTCCATTCACAAAATTAAAAGCAGGACTGGCATAGTGGCTCACCCCATAATCCCAACACTTTGGGAGGCTGGGGCAAGTAGATCACCAGAAGTAGGGAGTTTGAGACCAACCTGGCCAATGTGGTGAAACCCCTTATCTCTAAAAATACAAAAATTAGCCAGGCATGTTGGCATGCACCTGTAATCCCACCTACTTGGGAAGCTAAGGCATGAGAATTACTTGAACCTGGGAGGCAGAGGTTGCAGTGAGATCGCACCACTGCACTCCAGCCTGGGCGACAGAAACTCCTTCTCAAAGAAAAACAAACAAAAAAACTATAAAGAATCTCCTGAGTATTTTTAAATCTTACATGAACAACAAATAAGAGTTTGAATGTCTTATCCTGCATATGGAAATCAAGTCTTTGAAGAAAAAAGGTTTTTTTTGGTTTTTTTTTGGAGAGAGTCTCACTCTGTCACTAGGCTGGAGTGCAATGGCGTGATCTCCACTCACTGCAACCTCCACCTCCTGGGTATGAGTGGTTTTCCTTCCTCAGCCTCCCGAGTACCTGGGACTACAGGCGCGTGCCACCACGTTTGACTAATTTTTGTATTTTTAGTAGAAACGGGGTTTCACCATGTTGGCCGAGATAGTCTCGATCTCCTGACCTCATGATCTGCCCGCCTCGGCCCCGCAAGGTGCTGGGATTACAGGTGTGAGCCACTGTGCCCAGCCAGAAAAACATTTTAAAAGACTTTGTACACTATTTGAAATGACTATGGAATGCTTTGTTTCAATCAATTTTAAAAAATGGGAAATTGCCTTATCTTTTAGATACATTTAAAATGTCGAAGTCCTCCTTAAATTTCAAGAAAATAAAATCAATCTCCTTAAAACGAACCAATTATGATGAATTTGTCAAAACATTTATATTGTGTTAACCTAATTTACCAAGACATTTCAAATTTACATCTCTGCATCAGTTAAAGACAGATTTAGAAATATACTGATTTTCTTCAAATACAGTGTTTGAAGTTACGATGATTAGATTTAAAGATATGTGTGATCAGTCAGTTTATGATTATGTAAAATAACATGTCAATAGTTACAGGATAATGCAGGTAGGTAAGACACCTGTTCTACTATTGTGTGATTTCATGATTTAACTGGTGTAATTAGGAAAGGTTTTAGATCTAATTTGAACTGTCATATCCACTTTTTTTTTTTTTTGAGATGGAGTCTCACTCTGTTGCCCAGACTGGAGTACAGTGGCATGATCCCAGCTCACTGCAACCTCTGCCTCCAGGGTTCAAGCAATTCTCGTGCCTCAGCCTCCCGAGCAGCTGGGATTACAGGCACCCGCCACCACACCCGGCTAATTTTTGTATCTTTGTAGAGACAGGGTTTCATCATGCTGGCCAGGCTGGTCTCGAACTCCTAACCTGAAGTAAACCGCCCACCCTGGCCTCCCAAAGTGCTGGGAAGATACACTTCTAATCACAGTATTTCCAACTATATATTTGGTAGAAACAGTTGAAACTGCCATTGCAGTTACAGCAAAGGTAACAAGAGGTACATTTCTAATATGTAACAGGAGAGTTGACTTTTCATCTAATTAGCACCAAAATCATTAAATTTGTATAGATATTTGCATTAGCAGAAATCCCATTTTGTTCATGTTGTTTTTAAATAAAGTGACTCATTTAAAATTTAGTTGCATTAAAAAAATCTGTGTTATGGGAGTGGTAATACTGATTCCAGGCAGGGAGATGAGACATTACCAGATGAGAGGCAGGGATGGAGCTGATGGAGCTGAGTGGTCCTCCTGGTCTCCAACGGCCTGGCGGTGGCGCGATGGGAGGGAGAGCGCCCCCTGGAGGTCTAGGCGGTTCCTGGCTCGTGTGCCCGCGGGAACCCTAGCAGTCAGCCTCTGGCCCCGCCAGGGCGTACGAATCGTTTCCTCGTTTATCCAGTATTAAGTCACGCTGTGTGCTAAGTGCCGTGGCCAGGCAGCAGCTACACAACGAGCTGAGGTAAAATAGAGAACTAAGGAAGAATGGGGGACCCCAAAGCCAACTTGGTGACATCACACGCCGGAGTCGTACCCACGGCCCCCGGACCACAGCTCAGAGGGGCGGGACCGCCCGGGCCGGGGCGGGGCCAGGGCGGGGCCTGTCACCAGGGAAACCGCCCTCCTAGTATCCGCGCGCGGCGGTTGAACTGCTCCCAGCGAGGCAACCGCCTGCGAACGCCAGTTAGGGGAGAGGCGTCTCGGAGACTCAGAGACACCAAGGCCCCTGCGACGAGGTGGCTGCCGCTAGGGGGCGTCAGGACGACGTACCGGGTTCGAGTTGGGCCCGCCTTTTCCGCCCGCGCCCCAGGCCCGTGCAGTTCGGCATTCGCGTCCGAGAGCGGGAAAGAAGCAGTGGCCAAGGCGCCGGTAAGTAAAAGTCCGTCCTCACCGGCCGCCTGGGCCCGGTCCGCCCAGCGAACAGGGCGGCGTGAGGGTCACGGGCTGGAAACAATGCCACAGCTCAAGCCGACTCCAACAGTAGTAGCTTTTTTTGTTTGTTTTTTTGAGACAGGGTCTCCCACTTTCGCCCAGACTGGAGTGCAGTGGTGTGATCTCGGCTCACTGCAACTTCCGCCTCCGGGATTCAAGCGATTCTCCCGTCTCAGCCTCCCGAGTAGCTGGGGTTACAGGCGCGCGTCACCACACCCGGCTAATTTTGTGTTTTTAGTAAAGACGGGTTTCGCCATATTGGTTAGACTGGTCTTGAACTCCCGACCTCAGGGTGATCCGCCCACCTCGGCCTCCCAAAGTGCTGGGATTACAGGCGTGAGCCACCGCGCCTGGCCTACAGTACTGGCTTCTGCAGGCCACTCAGGCACCGCCTGTTTCTAGCTTGGAGAAGGGGAAACCGACAATAAAGTAGCCTTAAAGGGATCCATGTTCCGGCCTGCCACCTTTTCCGATGTCGGTGTTGTCCAACTAGTGTCCCTAGAATTACCCAGAATGTGCGTGGCACTGATTCATCCGTGGTTTAATCGGCAAAACCAGGTGTCTTAGCTACCTGCCTCATCCGCTCACTGCCCCTTTCTAAGGCGTTCTCACAGCCGCAAACACTTTCTCTTCCTCCATTAATTCCAATTGGTAAGATTTTGGAGTCTCCTTTAAGGTCCCCAGTTTCTCGAAGATAGCCCAAGGAATCTTGCCATTTCCTTGCCTTTTTTAACACATCTGGATTCATCCAGAGACGTAAACCCTGACCACCACCAGCTTCAAAGGGGTCTGACCCGTGCTGTCACATAGGGCTTAGAAGGGCCCTATACTTATTTTCGTGCTCTGCTATGGCAATCTTGAAATTCTTAATTTTTAAACCAGCACCCGTCTCCCTTCCCTGCCCCCCACACATTTTCATTTTGCACTGGGCCTGGCCTTAATTCTCATTTTCTCAAAGGCTGCCATACAACTATAAAAATACAGTTAAAAGAGATTCTTCTGTAGACGTGTCAATAGTCACTAGGACATCAAGAGACAGGTGGCATGATTCTGTTAACTAGCTAGGAGTTGTTGGAATCATAAAGCCTTTGTGATCCAGTGCCCACCCTCCACCCTTCTCAATTTCGGAACCTGAGAGACTGCTTAGAGAAAACCTGAGAGGTTGTAAAGCTGAGCTGTCCAGTACCAAAACTCATTGAACCACATGTAGAGCTGTTCAGCACTTGAAATGTGGCTGGTCTGAAAAAAGATGTGCTACAAACGTAAAACGCATACCAGCTTTTAAATTTTTTTTGTTTTCCTTTTTTTTTTTTGATATGGAGTATCCCTCTGTCACTGGAGTGCAGTGACGCAATCTTGGCTCGCTGCAACCTCTGCCTCCTGGGTTCAAGTGATTCTCCCGTCTCAGCCTCCTGAGTAGCTGGAATTACAGGTGCCCACCACCACACCGGGCTAATTTTTGTATTTTTAGTAAAGACGGGGTTTCACCATGTTGGCCATGGTTGGCCAGGCTGGTCTCGAATTCCTGACCTCAGGTGATCCGCCCCCCTCAGCCTCCCAAAGTGCTGGGATTGCAGGCATGAGCCACCACACCCAGCCAATTTTTCTTTTTCTTTTTTGCAGACAGAGTCTTACTCCGTTGCCCAGACTGGAGTGCAGTGGCCCAACCTCGGCTCACTGCAACCTCTGCCTCCTGGGTTCAAGTGATCCTCCTGCCTCAGCCTCCCAAGTAGCTGGGACTACAGGCATGTGCCACCACGCCGGCTAATTATTTTGTATTTTTAGTAGAGATGGGGGTTTCACCATGTTGGCCAGGCTGGTCTCGAACTCCTGACCTCAGGTGATCCACCTGCCTTGGCCTCCCAAAACGCTGGGATTACAGGTGTGAGCCACTGGGCCTGACCCTTTTTTTTTTTTTTTTTTTTTTTTTTGAAATAGTGTTTCATCCTATTGCCCAGGTTGGAATGTAGTGGCGTGATCTTGGCTCACTGCAGCCTTGACTTCGTGGGCTCACTTATTTTTTATTATAAGTAGAGACGAGGAGTATGCTAGCTAGTCCTTCTTTTTTTTTTTTTTTTTTTTTTTTAGAAAGAGTGTTGTTCTGTTGCCCAAGCTGGAGTGCATTGACTTAATCATGACTCATTACAACCTCGACCTCCTGGGCTCAAGCATCCTCTTGCCTCAGCCTCCTGATCACAGGCATGCACCACCATGCCCAGCTAGTTTTTAGTTTTTGTGTAGAGATGAGGTCTCACTATGAGAAACATACTCGGGCTGGTCTCAAACTCCTGAGCTGAAGCAATCCTCCCGCCTCCCAAAATGTTAGGATTACAGGTGTGAGCCACTGCACCCAGCCTAAAGTCTCATTTTTAATTTAAAATATTTTATCCATCTTTATATTAATTACATGCTTAAATGATACTTTAAATAAGCCAGATTAAATAAAATATATTCAAATTAATTTCACCTGTCCCTATTTATTTTTAAACATGACTCCTAGAAAATTTTAAATTGTAAGTATATGGGACTCACATAATATTTCTTTGGGAAAACACTATTATGAAAGTTTTAAGATATTGGAAACTTCTTATAATGTTCAGAAAAACTGCCTTCCCGCCCCCCCAAAAAAAACTCACATTGACCCTTATTTCCCAGAAAATACCACTACCTACTCTTATTCTATGTGATCCATATCAAACAACCTTACTAACCTAGCTTAACTCAAAGGCCTTGGCAGTTAAAGAACCACAGCCTAACTACAGATGGTCTAGGACTGCAGAATTATAGTCACTTTTAAGAGAAAGGCTCAAACTTCCCCCAGCTGTTGCATTAGACCAATTCAGTTGTTGGCAGACCTATCTCTACTGTTTTGGCTGTTTGTCTAGTTTTGCATAAGTAAACTGTAAAGAAATTATAGAGAAGGGAAGAAAGACGTCATCAAGGAGGGTGGTCACGTCACCAACTTTCACTCCAAATTATATTGTTACAAACTCTGGCATTGCAGCATCCTTGGCCTTCCTTTTGTCAGTCACACCACTTTAAAAAGTAATTAGCTTTAGTGAAGAAATTGCCGAAGCTCTAGTCTGAAGCATAGATAGGGACAGAAAATGATCTCTAAATTTAAACTTTCACTTGAGCAGTCTCCATTAGTTATGGAATATAAAATGGGTGGACTCCCGTATCTTAACCTTTCTTTAGTGTTTTGAATGGCTCTCAAAAGCAGTGTGATGCAGGAAGATGTTAGCTCTACATCAGTATGTACTGGATGAGGTCCTAACCCAGTCCTCCTAGAGCCTCTAGTTCCATGGAAAATAACAGGAAAAGAGTTCTTGCTGTTAGTTCACCTGAGTGCTGGTTGTTCAAAAGAACCTGGCATCTCTCTCTTGCTCCCTCTCTTGCCATGCAGCATGCCTGCTCCTCCTCCACCTTCTACCAAGAGTTAAAGCATCAGAAGCCAGCAGATGCTGGTGCCATGCTTGTACTGCCTGCAAAACCATAAGCCAAATAAAACTCGTTATGAATTGCCCAGCCTCAGGTATTCCTTTACAGCAACGCAAAATGGATCAACACACGTGGTTTATGTCCTCCTCTGGAAAGATATGGCTCTGTTTGTGAGCTACCTCACCCACGAGTGTGTTTTGCCTGTTCACTGCTTACCCGTCTGTATTAGTCTTCCACGCCGCTGATAAAGACATACCCTAGACTGGGCAATTTACAAAATAAAGATGTTTATTGGGCTTACGGTTCCACATGGCTGGGGAGGCCTCACAATCATGGCAGAAGGCAAGGAGGAGCAACATCCTATGTGGGTGACAGAAGGGCAAACAACTTGTGCAGGGAGACTCCCATTTTTAAAGCCATCAGAGCTCATGAGACTTATCCACTATCACAAGAACAGCACAGGAAAGACCCGCCCTCGTGATTCAATTACCTCCCACCGGGTTCCTCCCATGACACATGGGAATTGTGGGAGTTACAATTCAAGATGAGATTTGGGTGAGGACACAGCCAAACCATATTACCATCCCATCACGAGGCTCAGTCTCAGCTATGCTTCTGAACTGCTTTGCCTCAGGAGCCACAGTATTTGACAAAGCCTTAGAAGCTGGATCTCCACCCCAGTAGACACCTGCAGGTGACTGAAATGAGATTGCCCCATCAGGGTGGGAGGATCTATCATCATACAGCCATGTAATTTCTTAAGAAATTAAGAAAGGTTTAAGCGAAAAAGCCTTGGCAAGTTGAGTTGGGAAAGAATGTCTACCACTGGCTCAAATTACTGCCTTTCTGAGGCTTCTCTTTACCCAACATGCAAAGGTCAATCTTATGTGCAACAGCACCTTTCAACCATGATCGGGTCAGCACTCTGAGATAGGATTGAGGTGTGTACACCACAGAATGCAAAATATTTGGGAATCCCTGGAAGCATGACAGAGGTGGGAATTGGAAGTTGAAGCTTAAGCATTCCTCCTGGCACTGAGAAAGGCTTGGTCTTGTCCTGATCTCTGGCTTTTGGTAGTGAAGCCACTGGGGCCTGTAGTTTTGTTATAAGATTTTTAACTACACAATTCAACATCTTTAATAGACATAGAACTACTTAGGTTATGCACTTACATGAGTTTTGGTAGTACCCATCTCATAAGAAATTTGTCCATTTCCTTACAAGACTTTGATGACTAAGTTGACTTTATGGGCATACAATAATTTGTGATATTATTCTATCTGTTTAATGTCCTAAGACCTGTAGCATTATCCCCTTCATCATTGCAGATGTTGGTAATTTGTGTCTTCTCTCTCTTTTTTTTTTAATCAGTCAGGCTAAAGTAGTTTGGGCAATACTGACATTTTGAGCTGGATAATTCTTTGTCATATGGAACTCACCTGTGCATTGTAGGATGTTCGGCAGCATCCCTGGCCTCCACCCACTAGAGGTAGCA